TTTTTCAGCCACAACATCACGAATAAATTACGCGGGAAACAAGAAAAACCAATCAAAAAAAAAAAAAAAAAGAAAAGAAAGAGAGAGAGAGAGAGAGGGATTTATTTATGTATGTATGTAAGCATACATATAAAAAAAAAAAAAAAAAAAAAGGAAAATTTAAGAAAGGAAAAACAACAACAACACCAAAAAGCAGCAAAACGACAATAAAAAAAGCCAAACAAACAAACAAACAAACAAAAAACAAGCATATCAAATCCAAACGCTGCTGTGCAGTGTCCTTTTTTTTTACTCCTAGGAAAAAAAAAAAATGTATATATATATATATATGGAGATATATATATATATATATATATATATATATATATATATAGAAGGCATGTATGTGTGGTTGTGTATAATAGCAAGGGAATAAAAGTCAATGTATACTCCTACCCATGTTTTTTTTTTTTATTGCCGCCACTTATCTCTACCGTATTCTTCTTTTTTTTTTTTTTTCTTTTCTCGTATCCATGCTGCATTGTGTACACACCATGAATCTCCATTAACATTCAAACAACAACAACAACAACAACAACAAAAAAACAACAACAACACAAACACAAATACACAGAAAAAGACTTTATTTATTATTATTTTTTTTTACGCCTCTCTATATTCTTTTGCAGATCCTCTCCACTCCAAACACCTTTCAACTTGCTTCTTATTGTTCCCGTAGTATTCTTCCTCCGTCATCATGGGCTGGTCATGCCATTTGCAGTGAGTGTGGAAGATTCCATAAAGGTGTCTAGTGGTGCGTCGTAAAAGGTCCGCAGCGTATCAACGTTGCTAGTTGCACAAGTAAGAATCAAGCTACTGACGCTGTTTTCTTCCAACTGGCTGCTGTGCCGTGTCGGTAACAGGGCTGCCCCACTTTCCCCAACTTCCGCCGTGACACTTCCAGAAAGAAATACAGGCATGTGACCCACATGTCCCTGCTGACGCAACTGATGATGTATCCACTCCAGGGATTCACAGCATAACGGACGTATTCTAGTGCCTGCTGCTGGACTGCGTGGACTTCTCTCCGAACTGACGCGACTGAACGAGAAGACCCGGGAATGGTGATACCGATGCCGCTTTTGTTCCTGCGCTCTTGGACTCCTTAATATATTCTGCAGTGGAACTTTGGGTGTATTAACTGAAAAGTGCACCAAAGAACCTGTTGATTGCTGTCGAGGTGTCGACAGAGAGAAACAACTATCACTTTCGCATGTCTTCTCACGTTGGTGGGTTTTTCTGCTGTTCAACGATACTACTTTCACATTGTGGGCTTCTGGTGGGAAGGTCTTATCGCTCCTAACGTTACAGGACGCCTCGTTGAGGTGTGTCTTCTTTAAAGCGACGCCGTCTTTCGCGGTGTTTTTTTGTGTTCGTTCAGGCTTTCCAGCTCGGGGGTATGAAGCCGCGAAAAAAACGGGTTTCAGCGCGCCGACTGGCTTCACGAACAACGTAGAGGTAGAACGTGCATGAATTTCAGCGGCACCAGAAGGACCGAGGGAGGCAAAAGCACCAACCATACCACCACCGCCACCAGGACTGCTTGGTCCTTTCAGTATACTGCCGTCACTTTTCTCCCGGCACGGCGTATCCAACAAAAACTTTTCCGCAACTGAACGACTGGGAAGGATTTTTTGTTCTGGAGAGTCCTTGCTGTCGCGTTTCGAAAACGCAGATCCTCGCATCGTCATCCGCGCCACACCTTGACCCAGTAAACGTCTCGAGGAAGCGGAAGGCGGCAATCCACGGGAAACTTTTGAAAATAATGTCGGTTCGGATGAAAGGCTAAGGGCCTCCATATTTTGCTTGCCAAACGAATCCCCACTCCTTCCGTATTCACCGTCATTTTGGAAACCAGAACTGGGCTCCACATTCTCGTGACAAATAATATAGCACACTCGCGCCATTTCGTCCGGTTTATTGGCAGAACGCACGATATTGTCGTCAATTGGCGATGGTGGCGCCGTTGTTGGCGCCCCCAAGCCGGAAATTTTTTGCTCATTTTGTGTGCTCCGTTCTTCTTCTTCCCTATCTTCCGATTGATGAAGGCTACTGTCATAAATGTCATCATCCTCATCGGCAAGGGCAAGGCGTCGCAGCGCCGGGGGTGCGTCAGAGTCCTCTCTTAGGCTCCCCAAGGCCTCATGAAGTTTCCGCCTATACTGCATTACGGCATCCTTCATTGCCAGTGTCTTAGAGAACCTACCAAAGCTGCTTGAGACACTCTTCATGGAACATGACATCTGCGTGCCCCGTCGGCCAAAGATTTGTGAAGCTTGTGGTGAAAGTGTGTGTCGTCGATCTTCGCATGGCATATCTTCTTTCTGTTCGCTGGGGTATTTGCTTTCGTTCATCGCCGTACCTATCATATCCACCCCTATTTGACGGTTCCTACTTGGGGCGCATAAAACACCGCTTTTCTTTCCTACGTCGTTCCCCACCTTCTCGCTTGTGGATGCCATTCCTACCTTTCTTAGAGAGACGGAGAAAGAAAAATGCGGCAGACAACAACAACAACAACAACAAGATGAAATACGCACCGTTCCTGCCTCCAAAAAAGGCAAGAAGGGAGCTAGAACTGGCAAAAAAAAACAACACAAAAAATAATTGGTGCATGATGTCTAAAATAGAAGTCTCACCGGCTTATTTATCCCTATTCTTACAAACAACAACAAAACAACGAGCAAAATAAAAGAGTAAAGTTTGTTTTAGCGTCCCCAATAACTCCACTTCAGAGGAACGTTTTATACAACGATCATAAGGTAGTAGAATAATCTTCCGGGCCGCTGGCCGGATCCTGACAATCTATGGAAACCAAACAAGTTAGGAAAAAAGGTTCGTTAGTTAATTGCTTCAATGTTTTCTTTTCATTCAATATATAGAATTCTCTGGACCACCAGCATGGTCCTTTGTCCTCAGTTGGGATTTGAAATATTATTACTTACGAAGTGGCAGACTTTGGGGTCCTCCAACCACAAGACCCCGCCGCGTGGTGGGAATCAAAAGGGGGTGGGTGGGATGGCAAAATAAAAACAAATATTTATCCGGCCTCTATCGGCTCCCTGCCCCTACAAAGTCGCGTTCTTCCCAAAAATTCATACGGTAGAAAAGTATCATAAAGAATGCATTCATTTACCAGGATATACACATACATTAATTAAGTTAGCCAGCTCTCCCACGATCATTCTCTTCACAATCCCCTAAAAACCAAACAAAAACAAAAAACAACAACAAAAAGAAACAAAAACAAAAAATGGATCAATAAGCAATTTTAGATAATCAGACTTGCTGTCAAGCCACCAAGTGACATTCCATAAAAAAGGGTCCCGCAGCCACAAAACTCCCCCTCGCAGAAGGTAGCAGGAGGTAAGACAAAAGAAATTCAAATAATAATAATAATTAATAAAAAAAAAGAAGGTAAACGCACCCGCCAATTTACAACGTACTCCACTAATATATATATATATATATATATATAAGCAATCAACAGAACAAAAAACACAATGTTTATATGCAAGATGCTCATTAATTCATTCGGTCCCATCTGGTCGCACACTCCCTCCACAAGCTTCTGGCGACGAAATGAGCCGCCCCCTCCTCCACGCCGGCCTCGTCAGCGTCCGAATGGTGGAAGAAGAGAACGTCCAAGCAAGAGAAAAAAAAAAAAATAACGTTAAACTTCTCCTCACGGCGCACTGACAATTAGAATTAGAGTAACAGCGGGTGAGTAAATTCTCGCAACGACCTCGTGTGCAACAATCGCATGACCTACGGCCAATACATTCGATTCAGGCATCAGTATACAGCGTCCCCGTCCCTACCAAAGCAAACAACACACACAAAAAAGGCTTATATAATTCTACAATATTTCTTTTAAATAAGTTTTTATTTTTCAATCACACTACCTTTATTCCTTACGAATCGTCTCCACCGACGGTACGGCGCGGCCGTCGTACTGATGGCAGTGGCAGCGGTGGTAAGGGGCAAAAATCCCTGACCACCGAAGCCCATACACACCAGCGCACGCACACACACAAGTACCAATAGGCATTTTTAAAAGGCTTATATATACAATTAAATACAATGAGTGGAGGGCTGGCGGCACCGTTCACGGACAGCGGCCAGAATCGCCACTATGACTGCAGATGATCCTCCTCAGTAGCCTGGTCACCAGACCCCATTCCGATCATATCCTTCCCGTCTTGGAGAGAGTTCGGTGTCTCCCGCTCATCCAGCCTTGCCCGAGTGAAGCGCGAAAACCGCCAGTGTACAAACGCGGCGGCGAGTGTGGCGACCACGTTCACAACCAGCAAAATAAACATCTGGTTTCGCACACACCTGGGGTGGTTGCATGAGGGGAACTCACCGCGCCTGCGCGCCTCCGCATCGTACATCTCTCCGAACATGAAGCGGTTCAGCGCAATAGAAGCAACGGCACCGGACGTGAAGCAAAAGTTATAATGCTTGCCAATATCCTCAGAGTACATCATCCGTAAAGCGATCACGCCCACACCCCAGCCAACGCCGTTGCCCATGGCTCCAAGCAAAAACGGCAACAGCAGCACATTCCCCGGTAGCACGGCAAAGAGGAAGTGCGCCACCACCAACAGCAGGGGACCAATGGGAAGCGCAATGGTCGTCAGTGTCCTTGTCTTGCCTGCACGCTGTAACGCGGACAACTTCATATCGAGATACCCCATGGCCATGCGTCCAACAGCACTCCCCACAGACATGATGGCGACGTACAGCGTCAGCGTTCGGGTGTCAAACTTGCCGTTGTTCTTGCTGCGATAGATCTGAGCAGCGTTCATCTGCATCACCAGGCCGGTACCCCACATGCCGAAGCAAGCGAGCCACAACGCCCACAAGTCAACGGTGAGTAGGTGGGACCAGAAGGAACCACTGTACTGCGGCGCTGGCACGGCCACCCCATTCGCGCCAAGGTTGTTGCCGTCAGCCACAGCACCCTCAGATGCGGTTTTGCCCTTCCGCTCATGCATCGGCTCCGTGGTCGCCTTCCCGATGCCCTCCATATGCGTGGGACACACGGGCGTGTAGCGGCCCAAAAACTGGAACGGCATCGCAATTACGGAAAAAGATGCCATCAACAGCACCGCTACGATCGAGATCGCCAAGTAGCCCGCGCGGGAAGTACTCACGTACGCCGTGGTGATCGACTGTGTGGTGGAAAAGATCAGCGTAACAACGACTATTGCAAACCCAATCCGCAGACGCCGCGTGGGGGCATGCTGGCTCATGTACAGGTCAAGCGTTTTCTCCCGCTCCGCGGCCTCCTCACTGCTCAGACGCTTTTTTGTCCACGAGCACGGAAAGTACGTCGGCAACCGCGTGAAGCACGCGCCGATGAGAGAGCACAGCAGAATCTGTCCCCCAGTAAAGTACGCGTAGCCGGAGTAGTTGTTCTCCTCAGGTTGATCAGAGTTCGCCGCCTTGAACCAGCCGTTGAAATACGCCATCAGCACAGCGGTTCCAAGCCCATTAAACGTCTTCATGATCAGTACCACATAGCCGCGCTCCAAGGGGAACTGCAGCATCAGCGACATGACGGAAGAAACATCCATCATCGGAAGGCCAAGGGAGGTGATTCCCTGGTAAAGAGCAAAGAGCGCCACGCTCGATGTGGTAATTGTGCCGTCAAATGTCATCCCAAACAGAACAAAGCCCAGGCATCCAAAGAGACCCCCAAGCGGAAGCAGGACTGTGGGACCCACGTAGTCAAACAGCACTCCGGCATGAAACCCGCAGTAGCCCACGCAAATCCCGACCGTGCTGATTGTCGTGATTTCGCTCTGCGAATACCCGTACTTGTTCCGCAGATGATCCGTGAAGATGCTGAAACCGTACATGGACGAAATGCCAAGCGCGAGATAAATGCCGGCTATCAGCATCCGCATGCGGAACAGATCATCTATCAATTGTACCATGACTTTTTACCTTCTTGCGTGTTTTCCTCTCCTGTGAATTCTACTTTTTATTCGTGGAATTTGTAGTTTGCAGGACGCTTTGTTCTTTACTACACCAGAGAAAGATGTGGGGCAAAAATATAATCAGTGTGTTTTTTCATTTTGATGACGCAAACGGGATTTTTTCCCTTTTTGTTATTTTCCCAAATGAATTTGTTTGACATGTGTGGGAATAAATGGGAATGATTTGCCTGCAGTAGACAAGGGGTGCAGAAAGTAGCAAAGGAAGTAAGGCTGCGGGAGGCGCTGAGCTTGCCAATTGTGGCTCTTGCAGGCATCCTATGGAGCGAAAAACGCCATGGCAATGCATGCTGTACATTATTGCGGCGCCGCCCCTCAAACTGCACTGCTGCAAACAACAAGGGAAAAAAAAGAGGGTAGGTGATCAGTGTAGTGGGGGAACCGTCTCTCTGAGGGCAATGACACTGTGGAAGGCACGGATAAACACCGAATACCGCAGCTCTTAGTCCCTCATTTTAAACGGAACAATTTTTCGTGACGGAGAGGTCTCACTGACACGGAGGTAGGAAAAAAGCACTCGTCAATTCAGTTCCAGAATACACACGTGTGATTCTTTGCAAGAGAGAGAGAGAGAGAGAGAAAGGGAGAAAAAAGCCATTGGCCGCAGGTTATTTCACCCCTCTTCCCCAGCTGTGCTCATTTCCCTGGGACAATCCCCCTGCCTCAGCGGTGCAGGATAAAACAAGAAAAGGAAGACAAATCTTTTGCAAGAAAAATAAAAAGGAACACAAAAGCCCAGTCCCACAAAATGAATGATGCATAGATGCGTCTGTCGCCAACATGACAGGAGCTGGCGAGGCTGCCCCAAGGCAAGCGAGCTCCTTCTCCGGCAATTTGCGGGGTCGCTCCTGCCGCACTTTCGGTGCGTATGGCGGCACGCCTGCCGGATCGTGAGAACACGACAGTCGGGGATGCAATATGTTGAAAAAACAAGAGCTAATGTCAAAAGAGAGAATCCCCCGCACCGCCGCGCAGCATCTTACGGGGGCCACAACATCCACGCCCTCAGCTGCATGCTTTCGGAGAAACGCGGCCTCCCTCAATCCTCGTATTCGCATCGTGCCTCAAGGCGGCGCTCTTCGTCGCGCGGCTGAACGATACACCAATAGATTCGCACCTCTTGGCAAGGACCTCCTGTTCTCCTGTTGGCGCCACTTTTTGGCCGCACATTGGCCCCGCCGAACCACGCTCCTCCGCCGCCCGCTGGTTCGGATACTGCTAATCCCAACAGAAGTCTCCTTACCACGCGCGGCGCCACAGACTGCGGTCTTACCATCCCGGGGTCTTCCGCCAAGACCCCCGCGGTGGTGCGGGGAACTTCCGGACAACACTCGTGGCCCGTGTGGGGGCGAGTCAATTCCACGAGATCCACAAATCCCACTCGACAGCCGAAACTCGTCCGTGCACATCCGCCAAAAGAGCTGCCTGTAAAAAGGCGCGACCAATTCCACCAAAGC